AGGCTGAGAGAGAGAGAAGGCTGAGAGAGAGAGAGAGAGAGAGAGAAGGCTGAGAGAGATGGCTGAGAGAGAGAAGGCTGAGAGAGAGAAGGCTGAGAGAGAGAGAGAGAGAGAGAAGGCTGAGAGAGAGAGAGAGAGAGAGAGAAGGCTGAGAGAGAGAGAGAGAGAAGGCTAAGAGAGAGAAAGAGAGAGAGAGAGAGAGAGAAGGCTCCCTTGCCCCCCTCCCCCACCCATTAAGGAAGAGAAGAGCACAGCTCCTTTACTGTTACCCCTTCTCTGTGGACCTGACACATCCCTGCCCCTGCGCCTCCCCCTAGCTCTATTCTCCATCCAGCAGGACAGCCTCTGGCCCTTTTCCATCCTCTTGAGGTCTTCCTGGGAACTAGGTTAATTCATTCCACATCTCCAGGGTTCCAGGCTGGAGTTCTGGGGCAGAGGGTGGGGTCTGAGGCGGCTGGGAGCTCAGGGACCTTCAGAGGGGGCCTGGCTGGAGCTCCCCCCACTGGCCTGTGGTCCTGGTTGAAAGGCAGGGGTGTGTGTATTAGTCATCCATGCCACCTAACAAGTCACCCCCAGACTTAGTATTTTCAAACTCTATATTAATATGTATATACAGTATATAAAAATTATAGATCTATTATGTACAACAGATATTAAATATTTATATATATAAATCTCACATGGTCAGAAACTCAGGACCAGTTTAGATGATGGGCAGAATTTCTTGTGGGGCTGCTACCGAGATGTGGAGCTGTAGTCATCTGAAAGTTTGATTTGGCTGGAACATCTGCTTTCAAGAAGTTTCCCTCAGGTAGTTGCTGGCCAGAGATCCTAATTTCACCTCAAATAAGCCTCTTCAAAGTCTGCACACAGCACAACTCCAAAAGTCATCATGTCTTATAAGCTAACCAGGAAACTGATACAGCATTCCCTCTGCCTTCTTCTGTTGGTCACAGACCAACCCAGAGCAGTGTGGGAGGGACAAGATGAGGGAGTAAACTGAAGAAGGCGGGAGTCCCAGAGGCCGTCCTGCAGCCTACTTATCATGGCTGGGTGGTAGTGAGGGAATAGTCCTGAGAGAGAGATCGGCCAAGAGAGGGGAAGGCCTCTCTGGGGACCCCCACTCCCAGTCCTCCATAGACCTCACAGCCTCTTCCATTGTTCACTGTCCAGAGGTTCAGGAGGTCAGGTGAGGCCTAAACACGTCGGGGGCCTAAACACGCCAAGTGTGTTAGGGGAGATTCCGTGCCGTGCTCATTCAAGCTTGTAGTCACTCTGACCAGTGCTTCCTACTTGACCTGGACTTCTGATGGTCACATGGAAGAGCAGGGGTCTGGGAAGACCTACAAATTCCCCTGCCTTATCTTCCCTACCAAGAAGAGGTCCTAGGGTTCAGGCCTGAGCCCCTACAGCAACCCCTCCCATAAAGGAAATTAGGTTTCCCTGCTCAGGCTTACCCCAAGGTGGAGTTTGCCTTTGAAGCGAGCAAGGTGTGGTGGGGATAGGTTCTTTATGCTCTAATCTGTGGGTGACAGTTTCTCCAAGGGGCTGCAGGTGCCAGCTGGCTGAACCCAAACTAGGCTCTGAAGTTTGGGGTCATACCTACCATAATATGGGGGAGGCCAAGGAGCTACCTTCTGAGAGTTGCAGAAAGTGATCATGGAACTAGGGAGAATGTGGCTATAGTGGTCCTGGGTCAGCCTCCAAGACTCTACTTCCCAAAGAATAGACTCTATGAGAGCGCCCTCCTTTCCCCATGTCTCAGCCCCGCCCCCCAACCTCTTTGCAGCATCTTGCAGCTGCACATGTTTCTGGTAAGGGAAGGAGGCCACCGCAGGTCTGCACCTGGGGCTTCCCGACTCCACAGGGGGCCCTGCCCCTGCCCCACTGGCCTGGTCTCCTACACACTGGGAGCAGCCTCTATGCTAGTTTCCCTCTGCTCCTGTCTTTCCCCCCTTTTGGCCACCACC